ATATATATATATATATATATATATATATTTGGCATAAATATATATGTGTTGTTTTTATGTATGTGTGTGTATGTATATATGTATATGTAATTAAAGATGCTAAACTCAGTTTTTTATAAAGATTGCCTTTTATATAAAGATTTGCTTCTAAACTGCTTACAGGTTAGTTTTTTACTTTCATGTAGTATTATGAATAACAAATCTTTTTATGTTTAAAATAGGCTGATATTGCTTGTGGGTTCTAATTATTAGCTAATATGTTCCTCAAATAATTAATTATTAGATGAACATATTAGCTGGAAAGACCACATTAATATATTATATTATACTATATTTTCTTTGCCGTATAATTAAATTTACAATGAGAAAAAACCATTCATGTATAAAAATTGGCCGGAGCAAGAAGAAGACATAAACTGTCTTATCGCCAAGCCCCGTTTACATTAACGTAAAACAAGGTAAGCCCCGTTTACATTAACGTAAAACAAGGTAAAAACTAAAAGGTTAAAAATTGAAGTACAATACAATATTAGTTCTACAAATATAAGACACAAGTAATAAATCGAATAAATGTTATTTGTCTGTTCAAAATTAATAGTATATATATTTTTTATTTTAATAAGAAATAAACAAGATACACAAGACAATAGTAAATGAGTAGTGATGACTTTTTCAGGTTTAATTATTTTAGGTGATTTTAGAAGAAATCTTTAAAATCGAAAGTTTTTTCTAATAGAAAACGTTTAGATTCTCTTTTGAATTGTTCTAAGGAGATGCCTCGAAGAATTTTATTTTTAATTATATTTTTCAAAAAACCTTTCCATATAAATGGTCCCCGGTATTGAATTTGAAATGAATTGAGTTTTAAATAAGATCTTGGAATAACAAAATTATCAGATGAAAATTTAGTGGGATATTTATGAGATATTTCAGTAAAGTAAGACTGAAATATATTAGGAGATAACGCATGTTTTGTTTTAAACGTGAATAGCATAACTTGGTATATATTAAGTTTGTAAATATTAAGCACATTAAGTTTCTTTAAAAGAGATTCACCATTAACAGTTCTGTTAACGCCAAAAATAATCCTACAAGCATGTTTTTGTTTGCTATAAATTTTTTTGAGCTTCCCATAATTGGTACTTGCCCATGCAAGATTACAATAAGAAAGATAACTATGAATAAATGAGAAATATATAATTTTTAAAGATTCCGTATTAAGAAAAGGTTTAACTTTATATAGCATTGAAATATTTTTGGAGATTTTATTTTCAATAGATCTAATATGATATTTCCATGATATATTTTCATCTAATATCACTCCTAGAAAGTTAATAGTTGACTCTCTTTTAATAACTTTTTAGTTCATAAAGAGATCAGGTAGTTTTAAAAAAAGGTTATCACCTTTACTAGGTTTGTGGAACAACATAAATTTAGTTTTCCCAACATTTAATGAAAGTTTATTATTCGTAATCCATTCATTTATTTTTAATAACTCTTCATTAAAAATTCTAAACAGATCTTTAATATTTCTGTTAGAATAAAAAAGATTTGAGTCATCAGCAAACAAAATAACGTTTAGAATTTTGGATGCTAAATACAAATCATTAATGAACAGTATGATTAATAAGGGCCCTAAGATTGATCCCTGGGGAACACCACAAGTTATGATATGTTTTTTCTCTTCATTTTCTGTATATATTATGTATTGTTTCCTGTTTGAAAGGTAACTTTTAAACCATTGTATGTTATTGTTTAATACTCCATACATTTCTAGTTTTTTTATTAGAATATCATGATCAACAGTGTCAAATGCTTTTGACAAATCAATAAATATTAAAAAACAAAATATCTAAAAACATTAGAATTATGCATAAAACCAGATATATTTTAAATAATGCATGTCTTAAAAGTTTTTATTTTGCATATATACATAGCTATATTAACTACTGCAATATTGCCTGGGCTAGTACCTACCAATCAAAACTAGATTTAATATATAAAAAACAAAAACAAGCGTGTCGTATATTAACAAACGCAAATAAAAATGCCAATTCTAAACATTTAATGAGGGAACTGAGAGTTCTTAATATCTATGAACAAAATATATATTGTATACTTCAGTTCATGTTTAAACTCAAAAATGATCTGGTCCCTGAAGTCTTTCATAACTATTTTTACCTTATTAATCACAAATATCAAACAAAATACTCTATCAAGTACTACTATATTCCGAAAACCTCTTTAAGACAATCTAAATTCTCAATATCCAGAAGAGGACCCCAATTGTGGAACTCATTTCTAACAAACAAAATAAAAACGATAAACTCATTCCAACAATTTAAATGCGTTGTAAAGCAACAGCTACAAGACCTCAACAATCTCTTATTTTTAAAATTTTTCCTTTTTCAATTTCAATTTTTTTTTTCCTTCACTTTTTCTTCAAATTCTATATATTACTTGCTTGGTTATTTAATGAAGTTTATTGTAAAAAAAAAAAAAAAAAAAAAATGCTAATAGTTTTGCCAAAATACAACAAAAAAAAAAAAAAAAAAAAATTTATAAACTTTAAATACAAATACTTTTATAAATATTATTTTTATTTTACTCTATAATTTTAAAACGTTTAAAAATATAGACTCATCTGCTTTTACACGTTTTAAAGTTAAGTGATTAAAAGATTCAAACGTTTAAAAGTTAAAAATTTATCCGATAGTCCTAGACTGCTCTGACAAAATAATTTTTTTTTTTCAAAATTTTTTTTAAATAGTCAATAAATCATACAAAACAAAACTTTGATGTCAAATATTTAACTTTTGTTCTCGGTTAATAATTTAACTGCTCGTTAACTTAAAGGCAAACGTGCAAATTTTCATTACATCCGCCGCCGGGAGGCGAATATTTCCACCTCCAACTTATCGGCCGCAGCCAGCTGGGAGGCAAAAGTTATTATTATTATTTCATTTATTTAACACCCAATGTAATTTACAAGGTAAAAAAGAAAAATAAGAAAGTTATTTCTGGTGATTTTCACTTAAGAATTTTTTCCTCCAGAATTTGTTTAAAAATTCTTCTTTGCCCTTTCGCATTCCAGCACTCTATTGCATGTTTCAAAGTTTGTTCAACTTCGGAGGGAATTTCACTTTTAGGAAGTGCTATTTTTATCTTCTTTTTATTTTGAATTAAGTTTTGAAAATTTAGCATCCGAAAACGGCATAAGTCCTGGATATCGCCAACAAACGAATGTTTAAATAAGGGGTGTTTCAGTTGTGAAAAGATAATGCCTAAAGTTGTTTTATTATTAAGAAGACGAAGAAACAAGTTTAATTTATTTTGTTGAATGCTTTTTGAAATTTCCTGGATTTTAAATAGCGAATTTGTATAGTTCTTTCTGTGTTTTGAAACATTTAAAAGCGATTTTCGTGCACTCCTTCCAATTACACCTAGCTTTTTCATCAAAGCAGAATTATTTTCACATATCTCCATACCATAAGTTAAGGTAGGGACTGCCAATAATTTATATATATAGGAAATAGAACTTAGGTGGGCAAACCGAATTCCAGATTGAATAAGAGTTTGAACAACAGCTCTAAAGTTTGAAATTTTTTCATTAACATTTGTATTATTGAGTGAAGCAAAAGTTGAATGTTTAGTATCCCATGTGAATCTCAGATGTCTAAGTTTATTCTGAAGATTTATTTTATTACTAGATATCGTTATCGTATTGGGATGTATAGGAGGCGGCCTCCAAATGGTTTTGCCTCCAAAATTTCTACTGGAGGCGGCCACCATAGGCTTCCGTCTCTCTCTATTGGCGTTGGCCTGAAAAACATTTTTCCTCCAAAAAAATATCTGACTGTGGCCGTCAATAGAAAGGCGGATGACATCGGAGGCGGAACATTAAAAATTTTGCCGTTTAAAGTTAATTGGGAGGCAGCCGCCGTCTACTTTTCTTTTTTAAAATACTTTTCCTTTTTAAAATTTGCTAAAATTGCTTGTGGGTTTGTATTTTTTTTTTTAAATCTTTTAAAAATACTTTTATTGACAAAAAATTTTTATTTCATACTAATATATCGTAACTCTTTGTTAAGACTAAAAAGTAGAAAATAAAATATAGCAAAAACATTAAACAAACTTTTTAATTTAAATTTAATAGTTCCGTAAACTAAAGATTGACAGGTACATTTCTAAATAAACATTGCGCAGACCTGTCAATCTTAGTTTCGTAAACAAAAAAAATTTACGAAACTATTAAAATTAAATTAAAAAGTTTATTTTCATACTTTTTAGCAAATGTTTTTGCTATATTTTATTTCCCTTATTTTTAAGTAACTAAAATCATTTAAAAAAGTAACATTGTGACGTCAACTTTTCTTAACCCTTCCCCCCCCTTCCCCTAATTTGTCGACATTATTTAATGAACAGCCTCTTATTCAAGAGAATTTCAAGGTAAAAATAAACTTATCTTAAATAAATTTTTTAAGTTAATATAAAAATAATCAAATTTCTGATTTATTTTAGCACATGATCAAATAATCTTATAATTAAAAACAAGGAAAAAAGTGTTCTTGCCTTTTTTTTTTTTTTTATACTGATTTGTTAAAAAATCTCAAAAAAGTAACTCGAATGTTATTTTTGTATCCCATTACAAAGATATCACAAGTGTGAATCGTTTAATGTAATTGTATACAATTACAGTAAAAAATTTTTTTTTTTCTTCAAGTCATTAAGGTGTTCGAAGGAATCCTAACGGTCTTATCACAGCAAAATGGATTAGCATTAAACCAGTTCACGCCTCCTTCTTTATAATAATTCATTATTTAAGTGTATAGTATTTTAAAAGAAATTAAACTTTAGTTTTGCTTAAACAACCGTACCAAATGGAGCTTAGAGCGCCTAAATGGTTTTAAATTAAATGGTTTTAAATTAAAAAGAATTTAAATTATTACAAATATAAATTTCCTTAACAATATTGGATACGTGAATTTATAAGGATGTAATATTTTGAAGATATCTTTTAAATTTTAAACTTTTCTCCATACATTGATCTTATCTAAATTATTCAGAATATCTTTAAGGCATTTCGAAGAGCGATCCTTTAATGCTATGGCTAATAGTATAGGTAAGTTAGTTTCCAGGAAAACAGCTGCTGCTATTTGTCGTGCTATTATTTTGTAAATATCTTCTTCAACGCCTATCAGAAAATCAACCGAAATTGACATTTTTGAATTTTCCAAGGTGAAAACATCAAGCTCGTCTTTTGTAATATTTATTAAACTTCCGAATCCATTACATTCCGAAATAGTGATAAAAATACGATTGGAGAAACGCTGTGCTAGAAACTGTGTTTCCTGATTTCCATTATTAACTAAAAACTCTTTCGTCACAATTTCTGTATTATTTTCGGAGACTAACATATTATATACTAAAATAAAAACATCTTTAAAAATAAATCAAACAAAACATCTTATATACCGGAAATACATATGGAAATGTATATCGAATATATCGATCCATGACACATCTAAACATGAGTTAAAATCTAGATGTAGAGGACCTTAATTAATACATTTTTTTTTAATATTTCAAAAATATATAGAGCACGAGTTTCTAGAGAGAAGTTTACAAAACAGAATGCAAATCCAAATAAAACAATTTTGAATAAAAAAGTTGCTTAGTAACTGCTAACATTTCAAAGAACTTTGAACGAAGTATTCTCAACTCTGATGTATTTAAGTCTCCATTTCGAACGGTTTAAAGTTGCAATTTCAAATTTAAAATGTTGATTTTTAATGGTATTTTAAAGATAAAAAAACAACGCATAAAAATACATTAAAAACAAAAATAAAGAAACAAAGAATGTATGAAATATACGCTTATAATACGAATTATTTGACAATATCATAAAGACGCTTGAATTATTAGAACACATAAACAATGTGTATATCTACACAAAATAAAAAAATATTGCGCATTTGAAATATCTACTATTTTCATGGACCCCAGCTATAAACAATAAAAATATATAAACATTCATATCAAAAGAAATTTACCGAGAAAACTTTTAAACTCCGGTCAAAATTAAAGCCAAAAATCTTCTTTACATGTTTTTAAAAATAAACATAGATAAAGAAAAACTTTATTTTTTTTAAAAATTTGAATTTATTTATTTGATGCTTATGAAAGTTTTTTCAAAAATGTCGGAAAAAAATTAAAAAAAAAATTATAACAATAATAATAATAATTCCAAAACACTTATAAAAAAAAATTTTTAACTTAATATATTTATAAATTAAGATTTATAATCTTTTCTTTCAGTTTTAATAAAGTGCTATTTGTTTTTGTAATCATCAAGAGACGTGCTTAATATATATGACTAGCACTAAACTAATGAAGCAAAGTCAATACCAAGCCAAATTTTCACAATGGAGATCGGATTAAGTTCTCTAGTTCCTCATTTAAGTCAACTACAACTAATGTAACAGTAGAAAAAACCATATGCATTTCCTACTAAAAAACCACTAAATGTGATATTACTTTATGAGCAATCAAGATCTTGCGATTTAATTTTATTAGATAACTTTTCACCAGGATTTACCACCTCGATTACCCGCGTGCCTTTTCTCGCAAGGTCTCCAGCTTTACCTATGTAATATATATATATATATATATATATATATATATATATATATATTATATATATATATATATATATATATATATATATATATATTTATATATATATATATGTATATATATATATATATATATATATATATATATATATATATATATATCTGTGTGTGTGTGTGTCTATATATATATATATATATATATATATATATATATATATATATATATATATATATATATATATATGCTGTGTGTGTGTATATATATATGTGTGTGTGTGTGTGTGTGTGTGTGTGTGTGTGTGTGTGTGTGTGTGTGTGTGTGTGTGTGTGTGTGTGTGTCTATATATATATATATATATATATACATACAAAAATTATTAAAAAATAAAAAATATAATTAATAACTTTAATAAGACATTAGAAAGAAGAAAAAAAGATTTGTTTGCTAATTCTCCTAACATTAAAATTGCGCGCGGATACGAAAGTTTTACATAATAAGTAACTTTTCATTAAAGTTTATTTTTTAATCGTTACAGAGACCTTCAAATAATTAGTTAATTGTAGATAATTATAATAAAAAACAACACGTGTAGCTATGTATGATACGCATTTTTTCTTTTTTTTGCATGGCAAACGCATTTTTTTTTTTTGCATGGCAAAAGTATTTTTTAATAGTATTATTTGCTGTTACGAAACAAACTACAGTACTGTAAGCTATATTTTATACTATAAATTTATAAATATATATAAATTTATTAACTGTACTGTTAGCTATTCAGACAATGGCTTAAAGAAAAAAATACCACAATACAATACTAGAGCCAGCTGGAGATATGAGACAAGCTGCAAGAAAGCGTAGACAGATTTATTTGTTAGGCTTCACACCGCAAAGCTTTGCTTCAAATCGACTTCCAACGACTGGAGAAATCCTCAGAAGGTTTTACTGGCTCAAAATTAGAAAAGAAACTAGGTAACATCTGAAAAATTTCAAAATTTTGTCTGTTTATTTGTACTTAAACATTTTTTTAGCACTACCAAGATGAACTGTAAAGTTAGATGTGCCCTTGCTTCTCGAAAAGTTATCTGAAATGCAGCAAGTTAGCAGAAAGAATATGTGAAGAGAATTGGTGACAGAGTTATTTGCATTTTTAGAGAACTAGTAGACTTGTGGGAAAAAGCTGGATTCAACAAAAATTTCATACTCACAGAGCAGCAAATCCGAAACAAAATTACCAACAAGATCTATGAATACCAATCCCTAAAAAGACTCAAGACTCTAAGTCTACCAGAAGGAAGCTACTGCAAGAAAGTAAACAACTTTCTAAATGAAAGCAACTTTTTATTCTGGATTCAAAAGGCCAATATCTTTAACCTAATAAAAAGTGATCCAATGAGAAACAAAGAGGCTCAAAAAGAGGACATTGAATTCCTAAAACTCTGCCTTAAAGTACGCATGGTCAAGATGGCGGGTATTGATAACAAATTTTGAAAAAATGGTTGTTTGGCTTCAGAGAAAATGAGAATAACGGAGGAAAAAATGCGGTCACAAGGTGAAAAGCTCAGAAATCAAGAATAAAAGAATAAAAGGAAGGTTGAAGAACTAGAACAAAGAGAGTTTGAAGTTTCCTGGTACACAGACAGTGATAGCCTTCCAGACTCTGACGAAGCTTTTATGCCTCCTACAAAGACCCAAAAGATATCAGGAGAAGTAAAAGTTAGTGTTCAGCTAAGTATGGATGAACTAAACAATTGGATCCCAATCATGACAAAATATGGTATTGGTGTTTGAACCTGTTTGTTGACATTTCTTTATAAAGCTGGCGGTATTAACATTAAGGAGTTGAAGAACTCAAGATCAACACTGATCACGAAAGCACACACTGTAGTAGAGCGCAGATCACCCGAGAGCAGAACATGGATAAAGTAAGAGGCTTAAAGCCTTCATTCACTTTGACAGTAAAATTGTAAGACAGTACACCAGTGAAGAAGCAATTTCCACAAGTCATGAAAGGATAGCTATAAGCGTTTCTTCTCTGAAACCTTTAGATTTTCTGCTTGGCATTTTGAAAACAAAAAGATCCAAGGGAAGCGACCAGGCTGTAGCCATTCAAAGTATCCTCAAATACTATAAGCTATCAGATCAAATCATTGGGGTGTGTGTTGACACCACAGCTAGCATCACAAGAAAGAATAAAGCTATAAGGAATGTTATTGTTTATGCTTTGGGGAGGCCTGTTTTCTGGCTAATGTGGAGGGATCACATATATGAGAGACATCACATATATGAGAGACTATACTTTTAACCACAATTTGACTTAATTGATTGCACTGTTATTTGAAATAAATTTGTTTTTGCAAAGGTACCATTTGTACCAATTAAGGCAACTGGTTCCCTAAATTGGAACATTTTGATTCCTTAATCAAAAAGGTTTTTTTAAAAAAAAAAAAAACCAGTAAAATCAACAACAATTGGTTAAAAATGATTTTTATCTTTACGGTGAAAATTTAAACAGTTAATTCAAAACTTATTATAGGATTACTATTACCCAGACAAAAATTAAAGTCTACAAACAAAAAATTTTATAAAAGCTTTAACTGCTATGATGTTCTCTTAATTTATTGAAGAAAAATCACTAAATAAAGTATTATTTTTATGGTTTATGGTTGTTACTAAGTATTTTTTAATTGCACTCAAACTATTTTTATAACCCTTTAATTTTCTTACTGATTAGGTAAGGAAAACTTCAATGTTCCAATCAAGGAAACTTTGGACTATTTTGTTATATCATTGCAATAAAATGCTTGCAGCAACTCATAAGATAAGTTTATATTGTCATTTTGCATTTTTAATCCCATCAAATTAAACACAAAAAACTGAATAACCTATAGCACCATAGTTTACCAAGCGCAATCAATATAGTGTGAACCCAAAATTAGATCACTGAAAAAAAATGACGCAATAAAATTTTAAATCAATGGTGCAAATGCATTTTTTGAAGAATAACTTTTGAAATGTGTCAAAACATAGAAAATAATGCATTTTACTAAAAAAATGCAAAATATAGCCATAATTCATTTTTTTTTTAATAAAATGCTTGTGTTTCGGCAACTCTCCCATACTCTTTTGCACCAACTTGCAGTTGAAACTAAAGAATTTTGCACCACAGCACTTGAAAGAAACACTTTCCAAAGAGGAGACTACAAGTATCTTTGCCAGCTACTGGCTTACTTCCTGGGTGAAAATATACCTAATTTCTTCTTTAAGCAGCCGGGAGCTCACCATGAGGCCAGGTTTGTCTTTAACTTCACCATGAGTGACTGTCTTTACCTTCTTGTCCTGCAGATGACACAAAATTATCATCCGAATGATTCAAAAATAGTAGTGCCTATTACTCTCAAGAACATAAAAACAAATTGTGTTTTTCCATGGTCTATTATTTCTGATAAGTTCAATGGCAACTCAAGCTCCTTCAAATGACCTAAGAGCTTTTAAGATAGCTTACCAGCTCCAAATGTCAGATGATTACAAAGCCTATGCAGAGATTGGGAAGGTTTCCAACAAAAGCCTTCTACGGCACACTTGGTATCTAGCTCTCTAGCTTGTTGTTTTGTCTCTTGCTGACAGGAATCTAGAAGCCAACGTTAAGAACAACATCCTTAACAAATTACTGTATTTTGCCGTTCCAGAAAAAGAATATATGGTGCTTGAGAAACCTCGAATCCAGCCAGTCGTTGTTCTAATGTCATCTTTTGATGATTTTATTAATGAGCAAAGTTATCTTCTCTTTTTTCTCCTATAAATCACTAAGAAAGAGCTTTTGCTGTGGAGGGAGAAAGGTATAGCGGCTTGCGAAAGTGAGAGAGCCCCTAAGCCATTTGTAAAGTTTTCTGCTTGTGCAAATCAGCTTGCAGTGGTAAATGATCGGGCAGAACATCATATAAAGCTGATCCAAGACTTTATTAGAAGGACACATAACGAGGATAAACTTCAAGATACTCTTCAGGTAATTACTAAACATTATTATACAGACCTGTAGCTTGTAAATTGTTAGGGGAAGAGGGTCGTTTTTGAAAAATTAGGCAACTTAGAATAGCAAACACATATCATGCTCATTTTTAATAACAAAAAAAAGGAAGTCAATTGCACCTAACAACCCCTTACCCCATGCAATGTAAGCGCATACTATACTATAATGTTTGTAAAACTGTTTAAAGTATTATTATATCATTTTATTTAATAAACTAAACTATTTATTTTAAATACTTCGAATTTTAATGCTTTGATTATTTAATTACATTACAAAATAAACTGCCTTTTTAAGTTTATTTATTATTTTCTAGGTTGTCCATAAAAACAGACAGCAAGTATCCATCACTATTCAACTCAATTTAGAACTATTATTTGAAATAAAATTTGCTCACAAAATTTGCATCTTCTTTATTCTATTAGAAATATTTTAAATTGAAACCAGTGTTTTGTGAGTGTTTCAAATTTAAGACTCTATTTGGAACTTTAAAATATAATATTCAGGAAAAATTATATTATATAGAAAATGTCTAAAACCACCTTCTTTACCTTAGAGTTGATTTATATATATATATATATATATATATATATATATATATATATATATATATATATATATATATATATATATATATATATATATATATATATATATATATATACATACATACATACATACATATCTATATATATAAATATATATATACATATATATATATATATATATATATATATATATAATATATATATATATATATATATAATATATATATATATATATATATATATATATATATATATATATATATATATATGTATATATATATATATATATATATATATATACAATATATATATATATATATATATATATATATATATATATATATATATATATATATATATATATATATATATATATATATATATATATATATATATATATATATATATATATATATATATATATACAATAGTGTACT